GCTGAATTACGTTACCATTTAGACCCATTATTCAGCAAATTTCGCAAAAAATCACTAAAAATTCAACAAATTCAGCAATTCAACAGTAATTCAGCAAAAATTCAACAGTAATTACTGTTTTAAGAAAATTCAGCAAATTCAGCAAATTCTGTTGTTACCATTTAAGTTTGATATTATTTAGCAAATTTTACAAAAAATCAACAGTAATTCAGCAAATTCAACAAATTCAGCAAAAATTCTGCGGTTACCATTTAGATCCGATATCTTTAATTACGGAATTTATGGTCGCTGTAGTTTCTGTAAAAGTTACATTTTTTTTGTCTTGTGCACGTTATTTATCGGTTAGATATATCTTTAAACCAACAAAGAACAAAAGTGTCTCTGAAAGAGAAAATAGTTTGCCTATTTCGTGTCGTCTATCGGGTCCTTCATGGTCTAAAGCAAACCATATAATTTCGTGAGTAAAAGTGAGAGACTTCGTCGATTACCTTGAAAATCCAACAAATCATTTGTATCATCATGTAACTCTAACACCCATCATGTAACTCTTAACATATTAATTTGAATTAGATTAATTTCATTAAGAAGCTACCATCCATATTTATATTTTAATTCATGAAGAGATTACTACCGTCTATCTACCATCCATATTAATTTATTTCGGCTTGCAGAACCAGAAGTGAAGCATTTAAAGTAGAATCTAACAAAATTCCCAGTAAGGTAATGGAGAAATGCAGATACACCAAACACCATAAATACGAAACTTTCATTGTCAATACTCAATAGTTTTCTTTCGACACGTGCATGTCTATAATCTAACTTTCTTGTTCAAAATTTTGATATATACAAGTATTAAATTGTACTTAACACTCAGAAAACAATCAATCATTTTCACGGTTATCTAAAACAAGTAAACAGTTACAAACTTTAGAGAATTGTCCCACTATATTTTATTTTATGTTATACGAGTATTAATTAAATACTTCGTTACTTCCCAACTGTATAAGTGATTGTTTTTCATATCGATGAAACTAACTACTACGAAATAGAATAACGTAAACTTCAACTCTGAAATTCATATAACGATGTTTACGAACATAGTACAGATCGACGACCAATTAATAGGATCACCATATTAAAAAAGACAGGAAATTAAAAACTCTAAAAACAGCCATTCGAACATCTTATTTTAATATTCTCTCATCCATTTTATAACATTCGAAACGTCCGCTAAAGCTTCATTCCACCCGTCGCTCATTTCACGCTGCATCCAAATCAAAGATAACACTGTTAATATAAAATACTCAAATTTCTTATTAGTAAAACCCTTTTACATTTATACTTTTTGCATCAATACAAAGTTCAAAATATCTATAAAAACATGGTTGGACCGAGAAACACTAAACTCAAATTTTCATTAGAATATTTTTATTATAACAATTTCCCGAATCTTTTATAATATATACTTTGTAAGTACGTTGCATTTATATAAACACTCAAATTTCATTTAAAACATAAGTTTGGACCGGTAAGCGTAAGACCTCAAATTGTGCTTTTTATTTTCATATATAGAATTACGACAACATAAAATTCTTTTTATAATTTATGTATGAGGACTGATGAGAGAGAGTGAGAGATTAAGACATACTTGTTGCAGTTGGTGCTAGTGCTGATTGGGAAAGGAACATTGACTCTACATGCCCTAGGAAGTCCACCTGCACGACCTGCGTTGAGACCAGAGCCTAAGGCTGCAGCCGCAGATTTAAGGCACTGGCAAGCTGCTTTACGGTCTGGTCCTGTACGAGCCGCATTGTTAAGGCCTCTAACGCCGTTGCAGCACGCTGGGGGAATGACTCCACCTCGGAGTATGTAGCCTATGCAAGGTGCCACGGCGCCGTTAACCTGGCCACAACTCAAAGCTGCGTTCGATGTGATTGGACCGGCCACAATCATGCAGGCCAAGACCAAGCATGCTAGCTTCATGACTCCAGCCATTTCTCTCTTTGTTTTTAGGGTTTGTGTTTGGTTTGTAAAAGGAGATGTGTGTAATGATTTGAGTGATGAAGAGTGTTGAGGGAGTGGTAGTGTTTATATAGAGAAGAATAGTTTAGGTTTGTGAATGTGAATGTGAATGCGATAGAGAAATGGAGTTTAAGAAAGAAAGAAAAAAAAGATTAGGAGCTAGTAGTTGGTTGTTGGTTTCATTTAATGATGAGGTCCTAATTATGTAGGACTACTCATCTATTTTGTTTGACATTTACATTTACATTTTATTTTTTGATTACTTTCTGAAAATTCTCTAATTTAATTATATTTGCTGAAAAAATATCCACATTTTTTTTGTTACCCGATTAATATCTATACTATTTAACGTTAGTTTTTTAGTACACAAACTTTTTAAATATTTTGGTTTTACTACATCACCGTTAACAGAGTTAACCCCACTAACAGAAGTTTGTAAACACCGTTAAATTTTAATGGGAAATTTTCCAAAAAACACCCAAACTTAGTTGCATTTGCTAAAAAAATACCTAAACTTTTTTGTCTACCCGATAAATACACCAACTATTTAAGATTGTTCTTTATATACTCGAACTTTTAAAATGGGTTGGTTTTACTACCTCGACATTAACGGTGTCAATCTGACTAACGGAAGTTACTCTTTGCTACAGTGCCTTCTTCTTCTCCAAATCGATTTTGGGATTTAAGAACCCTAAAACGCCAAACTGATTTTGGATTTCAATTTAATTTCCCTGAAATTTTTTTTGTCAAATGATATTTAAATTTCTTGAATAGATATTGTCGAAAGCGAGATGATAACAATCTAAAAAAGTTTGTAGAAATATATTCTCCTTTAGTTTCATAAAAGGCAAAGTCCATAGATTCCAAGCTTGGTCGCGTTTATGGTCGCGGGAAGCATATACAACTGAAATCAAAAATCAATTTAGGGTTTTAAGGTTTTCAAATCCCAAAATCGATTTGGGGAAGAAGAAGGCATTGTAGCAAACAGTAACTTTCGTTAGTCAGATTGACACTGTTAATGTCGAGGTAGTAAAACCAACCCATTTTAAAAGTTCGAGTATATAAAGCACAATCTTAAATAGTTGGTGTATTTATCGGGTAGCCAAAAAAGTTTGGGTATTTTTTCAGCAAATGCAACTAAGTTCATGTGTTTTTTGGGAATTTTTCCATTAAAATTTAACGGCGTTTACAAACTTCCGTTAGTGGGGTTAACTCCGTTAACAGTGATGTAGTAAAACCAAAAGATTTAAAAAGTTTGTATACTGAAAAACTAACGTTAAATAGTGTAGGTATTAATCGGATAACCAAAAAAGTTTGAGTAATTTTTCAGCCAATATAACCAAAAACTAACGTTAAATAGTGTAGATATTAATAGTGTAGGAA